CATAAACTCTGTAATTTATTTTGAAGATTTGGATTCCTGAAAGTGCTGGAATGTTGAAGTTCATGAAGTCTTCAAGTCTCACACCCACGAAGCACTTCAACCAATCTTATCTCCAGGAATCAGGACTGTTCTCTTTGTAAAAAGTACAAGAGTAAATAAAAGGCAAGTATGTTTTCTTGACCTCAGCCAAGAGAGAAATATTAGCTCTACATATTAACTCTGGTTAGAGACGTGTACGTACAGACCCAACATACAAACAGAGCAGTTCAGAATATTTACAGCCCTCTGTTTTAGTCTTGCCAGTCACAAGAAGAATTCCTTCAGGTCACCCAGACCACAAGAAATGAGTTACTATCCTGAAGCTCATAAAAAATATGGGCCTCCTCAAAAATCTCTCTGCATAACTAAATCATTTCAGTGAAGACTAGAAACAGCTACACAGTCTCATGCTGAGGTGTGGGTGCAACTTCACAGTGAATTCTGTTAACACAGTGAATGCCTGTTATCTTGTTGGACTGATGATATCAGCAAATGATGAGATTTCTTCTGCCCAAGGGGGTTAGAAAATATCTATTCCATTGAACTTTAAAAGGCAGATCTGTCAAAGGGCAAGTCCCTGGGGCAGAGAGACTGGATGGCAATAACATTCAGTGTCAGCTTACTAGGACAAAGATATGACCTAACTCCAAATCTGCAGACAGCAGGTGTCTAGATCAAATTCTTCCCCATTACCAATTCACTGGAAATACGCTCCATAAAAACTGCTCCTCCAAGAGTACATCATATAAAATCTATTTGTAACAAATACCAATCAGACTGACAATGCAGCTGTAGATGCTTTGATAACCAATTAGATAAGGTCCCTCAGTGCTGCTCTTAAGAATCCCAACAACGTCTTCAATGTCCAAAATAAAACCCCAACTACCTGTTCAGTTGGTCCATCCACGAGATGACTTCTTGAACTCATAAACAAGAATAACTGAGCAAGAGGGAGTATTTGAAGTGATCTATATCTCCTTTAAATACACTTCCAAAGCAGACTATATTTCTGTATTGCTTTGTGATAAACGGTCATTCCAAGATTATACATTGGATTAAATAAAACAAATAAACAACCACCATCCAGAAGCTGCAATGCTGATTAACAGCCTGCCCTATCATCTTCCACACTTACTTTCACTTTCTGGTACTTTCAAGCAAACATATTTCTCCAGGCTCACAAATGTACTATCAGGAGTCACAGACTTTCAACACAAGGTTCAGCTGGCAGCCCTTTCTCAAATTAGAGGCTACCTACACAACCAACTACCTCAAATCTGTATCTTCTATCTTTTCTTAAAACCACACTCTTCAGGAAACTTATCAAGAGAAGACATTTTGTAACCACAAACAAATCACAGTGAATCTCAAATCTTGCTGTAATGTAATACTACTATCAGAAAGATTTTTGCCAGCATACTGTAATCCAATGATTTAGTTTACAAATTTTAAATCCAAATCACCTGGATTCTGATCTCTGCTGTACTACAAGCTACAAGCTCAGATACACAAATAAGTAACTATTAAATCATAATTTGTATCACACATAAATTGGTTTATGGTAACTCTTAGTTGATAGCCACCTCAAGGTAATTAGATCTGCTTTAGTCCTCTTCCGCTGTCAGTAACAGGCATTTTCTTATTTAGCAAAGTCTAAACCAGCTCAACTTAAGTCCTGTGTACTGTAAATTAAGATCATGCCCATTGACAGTTACCATGGATCAGCAAAGGAGTAATAGCTTATTGCTTAAAACAAATTTGCTTGAATGTTTGAGCTCACACTCTGTCATTTACTTATCTTTGCATCTGTTTCTTCATTAATAAATTAAACACAGTCTTTCTTTCCTCTTGTCAATCAGTTGATTGTTCTCAGTATTAATAAGGGCTCTGTAGTATTATTATACATGCCGTTGAATTACTACACATACTAGTGCTTACTAGTCAATTGTTCCACAGTATTAAAAACAAAGTTGTAAATTCCAGTCACACTTGTAGAATAAGACACTTAAAAATAATATAGATAAATAATTCTTACACAATTCAAATTGGTCTGTTATAACAAGAAAAAAATCCCCGGTTTGTTATAACAAGAAAAAAATCACCATTCAACCTTTCAAACACAAGAGAAAAATAAGCCATCTGATGAATAGTACCTGACAGTGGGTACTGACAAATTTAAGAAAATGACTATTTGCATCTCATAAATTAATAATATTTGATTTATTCATAATCTTGATATTCTTCAGAAAGATATAATGAAATGTCCATCCACTTCAACTACCCATGCTGAAAGGATTTAAGAGGGTGGTTTTATCACGATAAAGTCAGAAAGAAATAACAAGGTACTGGCAACTGCAGCACCTTCCAGCTCAGAGAAGGGAATTTCTTGCCTACTTTACTACTTGATACAGATTGATTCTACTATTCTAGTTTCGTATCATTATTTTTATCTTCATTTAAGTATAGAAGACTACTTAATTAAAAATATATTAAGAACAAGATATGATTAGACTATGTCAGATATGGGTCTGATATTGACTGCTCCTGCATGGCATGTTACCTCTTGCCTGTACAGGTTTTCAAGGTGCAAAGTGCAATAATGAGAAATGAGTATGTATTGCATAAAACAAACTATTTGAATGTAACAAATCTGTGTAAATGCTCAATATCTGAATGAGATTCTGGGTGGTTTTCAAGAAACAGTTAATGACTACCATGACTCTATAATAGTTTTTCAGCTGCACAAATGGCCGACTACTAGTAGCACTGCTGACTAGTGATGATAGCAGCCAAACTGCATTTACAGATTAACTCTCATTAGTATCACCTAAAAATTGGTTTGCAATATTTTATATGCATGATACTAAATTACAAAATTATCATGTCTTCTGAAACCGTAGCATGTTAAATTACAAAAATATCATGTCTTCTGAAACTGTAGCATGTTCCTACACTGTGTCTTGAAAAATGCTTGGCACTATTAAAAACCTTCTGATAACTGAAGTGCTTTAATATGAACTTTTAATTGTCTAAAATCAGACTTTCATTATTCTAAAAATTAAAATTTCACTGATAATTAGTTTTGCTTTCTATTAGCAGAAACAGAAATTAATGACTTTGGCAAAAATATTAATGACATTTTTCTTGTTTTAATTTAGTATGTGCATTAGCATGGATATAACTTAGAGGCTTGTCATGTTTTAATCAGATGACATCCAGCAGTCCCTTCCAGTTTAAACCATTGAATGTTCCTATGATAGCCAACAGTGATAGATGAGGGGAAAAGTTAATTAAATGTTCAAGACTGTACAAGAACAATAGCTGACTAACTCTTCCAGTAGGGGGAGATGTTCTGTTAAAGTTTATCAGCAATTAAAAAAAGTGCTAACCAATTTACCCCTGTATCTTTTTCACAAAATCAACCTCATAAGAGAAATAGGTATATGCACCTTACTAGCAATATTCTCCAAAAGGCAGTGTATGAAAATCAGAAGAAAAAAAAATTCACAGCAAATGGCTGTAAGAGAAAAACACATATATGGTGGTGGAAAAACACATGATGATAGAGCAAGCTGTGCTCATAGTCATCAAAACCAAAAAGGCCCTATTCCTTTTCAAAATTAAAGTCTCTCCAACAGTAACGTTTTTCCACCTACAAAATAAATGTAATTTTTAGATGTCAAAGATCCTATAAATATCATAAAGCAAGAGGAAAAAAGGATTGAATTTTTGAATTTACCAATACTAAATACTTAAAAATAAAAAATAAACTCTGTTGCCTGAAAGGTCCTTCAGAACAAAATCTGATCTGTGTTTTCCTCCTTATTTCCAAATTTCTTTTTAAAATTTTAATGTCAGAAGTAATATTGTCTCATGTCACACTACAATTCTGTTCTCCTCCTTAAGCAGTTTCCTTCTACAGACCTTCCTGAGAATCAGGGAGGTTACTGAGTGGTGCTGGTTACCATATATTTTTTATGAATGCAGCTCACTGTCCATTATGTTGCAGTTCACAATTTTTCCTGTTGTGTCACTGCAACTGTGGGTGATGATATAAATCAGATTTCTGAAATTTTTTACTATTCTGATCTGAGTGAAAATAGAATACCCTCACTCTTGCCTTCCTCCAAAAACAATTATCTTTTGACTTAGATCATTTCTATGATCCTCTTCAATAAAGCAGCACTTGCATCAGTCCAGCTGAAGGTACAGCAAACTGGGAACATGTCTAGAGGAACACCTTAATTTGGCTTTAATATTAAAGAAATGGTTGTGAAACTACATCACAGGACATTTTTAAAGCAATTATCGTGAGAGTAGAAATTGCATTTATTAAAAAAGGCTGGGATTTATCACTGGTATATTTAAATGTCTATATGTCTGAGTCATTCCTGAAGATTTCTTTTACAGTCTATAGCAAAATCAGAACTCAAATAGGTAGAATTAAATGAAAGTTTCCAAACTAACTGAGATGAATATGAATATTGGGTGACTGATGACTATTACAACTAGATGAAAAATTCAGATACAGACATGCACAGTAGAAGGATATTAATTTGATGAGATGATTCTTCCCTCATCTGTCTAAATTGAGGTGAATTAAACAAGGCTGCCCTGTATCTCCACTGCAACACTTTTGATTGGTATGGTCAAAACAACTTTGGAAAGAATAACATTATTTTTCCCATTTTAGGCACAGGAGAACGAGGTACTAGTAGGTTCACCAAAGTCAGCAACTTCTGTGAGAATTGGCAAAAAAAATGCAGAACAGTCTGGACTTCTAGCTGCTAGTCTTGCTAAATGAACAGAAATCATCACTGCTGGTAAGTATCCATCTCACTTCCCACCTCTAAAATTGCCTGTCAGCACAACACCCCCCTTAATACCTCTAAAAGCTTTGAAAACTACCACTTTGAAAATGGATGCTGCTTCTACTTTAAAAGTGCTGAGAGGAGACTCACCTGCAAGTACAACTCCAAGCCTTGCCGTCGCTGCTCCAGAACCTTGGGGACCCAGTTTCTCACATGCTTTGAAGGAATCTCTGGAGTTCTTATGAACTTCTTGAGCTGAAAATAAGAAGAAATGCAGATAGAAAAAAAAAAGTATAATAGCTTTCCTTTAAAGTAAAAATGTTTATATTAGAGATTATAACGTACAGGCAAAATAACCACACATGAAGGACAACAGCACAGCAATGAAGTTATTCACCATCAGCTCAATGAAGTTAACAGCAGACTTCATACCTACAGGTTGCAATTAAAAATCTCCACATCTAGCTGCCCTGGACAGTGAAGAGGAACCCTACTAACAATTTGTTGTGACTAACAGCCTTAAAACAAAACAGCAATAACTACATGAGAATACTTGAAATTAATTCCCCATTAGTTGATCTAGGACGATGCCTCACAATGTCGCTGCAACGTACCCACATACTACCTTGCTAAGTGAAGTGATAAAACACCATGGCAATTGCTAACTCTAGATTTAGGCAACTATATATGGGTAGTAGAAATACATGAAGGAGAGCTAACCATTTCTCTGGAGAGCTGGCAATCAAGAGAGCAAAATATCCACGCTCTCAAATTGCACCAACGGATTGACAGTTGTGTTTAATATCTTATACAGAGAAATAGGAAGTTTGACATTGAATATATTTCCAAGAGAGCTCTGTAACCATTCCTCTAAAGATTCCCAAAAGAAAGCTTTTAGGGATATATACAGAAATGTGTATATGTATACACATGAGTACATACATATAGACACAAGAATACATTCTGACAACACTAAGAATCCTCTTGCTGGAGCAACATTATTTTTTCAAAACCAAAAAATATTAATGTTTTCTTCAAAACTACAGAGTGAAAATGATAACTGGAAAAGACTCCATTGCATTTTAATAGAAGGTGACATTAGATATTCTTTCCGTTGCATACCGCCTCTCAGTAATCCGAGGCAAGGAATGCAAGTAAAGAAACTCAAAATTGACTTTGACATGCACACCCATGGGAGACTGAGAATTTACATTTCATCTTTGAGCTTGCTGAGATGTCACTACAGGAAAAAGCAGTGCCAACATATCAACGTCTCTGCAAATCACAAGTAAGGAAGCTGCAGCAAGGAAACAATTGCTTTGGAAACATTTTGCAACTTCCTTATTTCTTAACAGCACTAAATTACAATTAAACATGAAGCAAGAAAAGGAACCCACCAAAACAAAACCCCAAGTCCATGTACTTTTACTGACTGATCTTAAAGCTAGAATATAAAACCTCATTTTTTCCTCTAAATTAGTCGAGCATGTTGAAGAAGCTATGGTCAAAGCTGTTGCAAACTATGACAGCACCCGCAGATGAGTAACTAATCAGAAGAATGCTCCTGATGAGGGGAGACAAATCTGAAACAATACAAGCATCCACCAAGGCCTAGATGCTTACAAGATAAGTATTCTGTGGCTGGTACCTCAGCTGATGATTAACAATATTTTTGTGCTTTGTTGCTTCAGAGTGCAAGCACAGGTCTTATGTGTAAGTATAAAGCACATGCTATACAGATGTACAAAGATAAACCCACCTTCTTATGCTTACAATAATCCAATAATATATTGCAAAAAATAATTATTATGATGTCAAAGATTATTAAGCAAATCTAGGTATGTGTTAGCTATATTGCTTCAGATCTGTCCCTACAGAAGAAATGCTTCTCTGATGACAATTATTGTAATATCTTCCTTTCCATTACACTGACCTAATTTGACATACTGTAGTCTCTATTTTCTGCAAGACTAAAAGATGGTTCAAACTGTCAGGTAAAGAATTATTTGTCCCAGTGTGAAAAGTCAGTACAATTTAGAGTGTAGACTAACTATTCTAAAATTATAAATAACTTGCAAAACAATATGTACAGAATTTAAGATTTTTGCAGATTTCATTGCAGTAGTTGTAACACTGCCACCTTCTAGCATTCTGGTGCTTAAAAAGAACTATCAATATTTAAAACTGTAAAGGAAAAAACCAGAAAAAGTAATTAGAGAATAAATATGAATAAATGTTTATATTTTTAACTACAATAGTTATACACATAGAAAGAATTTAATTATTTCTAAAAAGCTCTCAAAAATTTTGTTCAGACTTGAATGCAATACTGTAATGTGAATAATCAGAGCAAAGTATAATGGCCTATGCTATTTCAAGGGAATAATTTATATTCCTGGTGTAGCACAGCAGTCTTGAAAAGATTTTAAACCTTTTCCACTACAGCACAGTAAGACAGGCTTTATTTTTTTATAGAACTGGAATGTAAGAAAGGTTGAACCCAGGAAGGAGAAAAATCCAGCCATGTGCTAGGAAATGGCTTTATTAAAAAAAAACCAAAAACAAACCAAAACATTAATTGACATTTTGTGAGTGAATAACGTCTTATATGAGCAATGGAGCCCTCCTTCCTCCATACAATGCTCATGGAGCATGTCCTTCTCTGGCAAAAGGCACAACTTCCCCTTCAGCCTCTATTTCCATTTTCTACCACAGTTTTCTACAGAAGCTTTGTTTCTCCTGCTCGCTATAGACATCTCCAGCACTACGGGCATCTTGAATATGCAGTAAGTCTAGAGAAACATTTCCAATTGCCATGTACTCACAGCAATTTAGAGTGAAACTTACATTTTAAATTAAAGGGAAGGAGGGAAATAAAAAATAAATAACCTAAGTGGCATGCTGAAAGCAAACTGCTATCTGGACCTGAGTATAATGTCATGGGATGTGAACAAATTGTTCACAAAGAACCTTTAAGATACAAGTGCAAAACATTCTTCTCCAGTAAAAACTGTCCAAATACACATCCTACTTTTTAAAGAGTACTGAGATCTTCTGCTCTAACACAAAACAGAGAGGTGAAACAACATACTGTATTACCAGAGACTGCTTTCTCCAGGACTTCTGTAATACTGAAAGCACTAAGAAAGGTTCAGAGGATGAGCATTCAACCATGTTCACTGAAATTTTACAATTTCAAAAAGTAAGACTTAAGAAAAGAGGTATATTGTTGCTGAAATATACTGGGTGCTTTGCATCTGTATAGGGCAGAAATAAGAAAAAGTCACAAGTTTGCAGAGTAGGAGAAACAGACAGCAAGCAGATGAGTAAGATGAAACAAACTGAAGAGAGTGCACAGTGTCTGGTTAGAATACCTATTTTTTAGGTTTGGTTTTTTTTGCTGCTGTTTCTGGAGAGAGACAGAAAGAGACCATCATTTATGGTTTTTCTGATGTTCTAAGGAGAAATCTCTGCAAAGGGAGTTACTGCACAGAAAGCAGTGTACAAGGAGACAAATTTGACAGTGAGACTGCAGTCATTCGTGACATTTGTTTGGACTAATTGTGCAACTCCAGAAATTACAGTGACATTAGACAACAACAAAGCAAAAAAGAAAAAGCAGAGGCATTCAATGGTTTTTTTTTTGCTTCAGTCTTTAATAATACAGATAGACCTTGGGCTGCCCAGTCCCTGGAGCTGAAGGACTACAAGTGGGGAACAGTACTTTCCACTTGTGAACATGGAAATTGTAAGTGACCAGCTGTACCAGCTGTTCACAAGTCCGTGGGGCCTGATGGGATTCATCCCAGGGTACTGAATAAGCTAGTGGATATCATGGCAGGACCACACTTGATCAACTACCAAAGGTCTTCAGAGTCTGAAGAGGTCCACCCTGACTGGAAGCTAGGCAGTGTTAGTTCAATTTACAAGAAAGGCATGAGGGAAGACTCAGGCAACTACAGACCTGTTAGTCTACCTCAGTTCCTGGAAAAATTATGCAGAAGACTATACTGGCTATTAGCAAAAAGCATTTAAAGAACAATGCAATCATCAGGCAATCAACACTCGTTCACAAATGGGAAGTCCTCTTCAAATAATTTGATATCCTATGATAAGGTTATTCACCTAGTGGATGAAAGGAAGGTGGTGGAGGTAGTTTTTCTGGATTTTAGTAAGGCTTTAGATACTGTCCCTTACAACAGCCTTCAAGCTGTTCAACTGTGGGATAAGCAGGTTCACAGTGTGCTGGGTGAAGAACTGGTTGAAAGGCAGAGTTCAAAGGGTTGTAATGAGCAGGGCTACAACTGGCTGGTGACCCGTCACCAGTGGTGTTCCTCCGGGTTCATTCCTGGGCCAGTTGTGTTCCATATTTTTATCAATGATCTGCATGCAGGAGTTGAAGGCATCATTAGCAAGTTTGCTGATTACACCAAACTGGGAGGTGCTGTTGACTCTCTTGAGGGACAAAAGACCTTACAGAGAGATCTAGAGAGATTGCAGCACTGGGCTGCATCAATGACATGAAATTTAATAAGTCCAAATGCCAGATTCTGCATCTGGAACAAAGTAACTCTGGGTACAACTATAAATTGGGAGAGGAGTGGCTGGAGATCCACCCTGCAGAATGGGTCGTGGGGTGCTGGTTGGCAGCAGGCTCAGTGTGAGTCAGCAGTGTGCCCTGGCAGCCGAGAAGGCACACCTCTGCATCCTGGGGTGCATCAAACACAGCGTAGCCAGCTGGTCAGAAGAGGTGATTATCCTGCTGTAATCAGTGATGGAGCAGCCTCACCTTCAGTGCTGTGTGCAGTTCTGGGTCCCATGATTTGAGAAGGATGTAAAGGTACTTGAATGCATCAAGAGGAGGACTGGAAGGAACACCCTATGAGCAGAGGCTAAGGATCTTATGTTTGTCTAGTTTGGAGAAAAGAAGGCTGAGGGGCGACCTCATCAACTTTCTGAGGAGGGGAAGTGGAGAGGGAGGTGCTGAGATCTTCTCCCTGGCATCCTGTGACAGGACACATGGGAATGGTTCAAAGCTGTGTCAGGGGAGGCTCAGACTGGACACTAGGAAGCATTTCTTTAACGAGAGGGTGGTCAAACACTGGAACAGGCTTCCTATAGAGGCAGTCAGTGCCACAAGTCTGTCAGTGTTTAAGAGGCATTTGGACAGTGCCGTAATAACATGGTTTAACTTCTGGTCAGCCCTGAAGGGATGAGGAAGTTGGACGAGGTGATAGTTGTAGGTCCCTTCCACCTGAAATATTGTATTGTTATTCTATTCTATTCTATTCTATTCTATTCTATTCTATTCTATTCTATTCTATTCTATTCTATTCTAT